GGATGCCAACCCCCCTGCCCCCCTTGTCCACAGGGGGGACCTCCGGGGGGGGGGAGGTCGCGCTCCCCCAGGGACCCCCCCCCGCTGCCCCCCCCCCGGGACCCCCCCCCGCTGCCCCACGCGCCCCGCCAGGGAAGGGATTCGAGGGAGGGGCTCCTTCTCGAATCAAGTACGACGTTGTTTGATCTCCGTTTGGCTGGATCGCTTGAAGACGAGGGCTTCGGGAGAGGGGGGAGAGCGGCGACGACGACGCTTCAAACGGGAAAACGCTTCACGCACGCCGACAGGGTCGGCGGATCTGAAGTGCGGGAAGTGCCCCAATGAAAGACAAACGATTGATAGTCTTCAATCGTGCCACGAAATGTTCATTGTTTTTTCCTGGCACGTCAACGCCACAAACCCATATGACTGTTGCGCCCTGACGATCCGAAGTAGCGCCAGCACACCGCTCCTGGAAATGCAACACCGCGAATCAACGGGACTGCTGCGTCCTGAGAGTCGTAAACCGTGCCAGTTCACCATGCCTGAGAGAGTCCCTGAAGCGGTTGCACATGCTTGAAGTGAACGCGCGCGGCGCTACTACAGCGAGAGCCACATGCGGGAAGGACACCGCCCTCATCCTTGAAAAAACGCTGCAAACTTCTAAGACGGATGCGCGCGGCGCTGCGGCGAGTGCCGCACGTTGAAAACCCCCGTCCTCCGTGCATGAAAGTGCTGCAAACGTTGAAGATGAGTGCGCGCGGTGCTGAGGCGAGGGCCACATTTGTGTTACCACCCGGCACCCAACATTGAAGTTGCTGCAAATCCCAAGATGCAGAGTCAGAAGTGGTCAGGAAGTCACAGGCGAAAGGCCCAGCCCGCCCTACGGACACGTCTGGGGCTGCGACAGGGAGGAATTACTCGCGCGGAAAATGGATAGAGGAGGAGGGGGAGGTGGAGGAGGAGGAGGAGGATTCGTGGTGGCGCAGGAGGAAGAGAAGTCGAAAGCCGGATCATACAGTACCAATGGCGGGCTGTTTTTCGACCCCGAGGTTTTGAGGGTCGGGGGCAACGTCGGGGTGGTGTGGTGTACATGTTTTCCCCGTGTTCCAGGGAAAATGTATACACCAAGGATCCGCATACAACAGGATCCGCTCCCGTGTGAAATTCCAGTGCAGGGCCGGAAAAAGCGTCGGTGTATAGAGCTCGGTTCCCTAAGGAGGAGCAGGATTAAGCTTCCTCCGCCAGGAGGACGCACTCCCCGCTCGAGAACCTCGAGTTCCGGCTCGTTGACGCCAGCGAGATAGGGGACATTTTCCCGGCCGCGTCGTTCGATTTCGTGTTGTGCGTGCAGGCGCGCGGCGGCTTAGGAGGGGAAGTTTCTCTCTCTCTCTCTCTCTCTCACTTCGGACGTTCTCGCTTGGGTTAGATGTTTGGTTTGGGGGCGCCTTCCTGGGGCCCACCTCAAGGATCTGTTCGACTCTAGCTCGTCTCCAGTTCGACTCCAGTTCGACTCCAGTCGACGGTCATTCGACGTAGCATCTTCGCATGAGTGGAGCCAGTGAAGGTCCCCAGAGAGCATCTAAGCTTGAGAGGGGGAAGGAGGAAGAGGAGGAGGAGGAGGAGGAGGAGGAGGAGGAGGACGTCCTCACTTGGGGCGTCTTTCGGGCCTGGTCGATGCAATGCAGACGACCGAGGAGGTAGAGATGCACTCCTCCCTGCCCTCGTCTCTCCATGTCTTTCCTGTTATCTCTCTTTGCCCTTGAAGGCCTGCCTGGGCGCCTCGCCTGGGGAAAGGGGGGAAGGAGGACATCCTCTGCCTCCCCAGACGTCCCGCATCTTGAAAGATCGAGCGGATTTGTTCTGCATGTTATGCCTTCCAGGGGCGTGTTCGGGCTCCGGGGTCAAAAAGCGGCTCATGATGACAACATGTTATCGGGAAATGACCTGGGCTTCCGGGGGCGACGTTGAACTAACAAAGTAGCATCATGGGCCCCTCCTTGCCCTCGCCTTTTCCAAAGGGTGATTACATCAATTTGCCACGACGTGGTTTCCACAAGAGGATGTAGTACATTGATTGCCTACTCGCCATGGTAGGTGTGCGAAGTTGGAGGAAGCACCGATGCATTTGCAGGACACCCAAGAAATGTTGACGTCAGCCCGACCTAGTATCCCGAGAGGTAAACTGATTGACTGGACTGCGCTGACCGCACCCCTTCGGCAGCCGCTTTGTTTTCGGTTGCCAGACGTTCAATCGGGTGCACAACCAATGGCAGTTTGTTTTACTCTCGGCGGTCAAGCGCGCAATCTATGGCGCAACCAAGAGCAAGCCGTCTTACATCTGCGGGGCAACGAACAGCCGGCCGCTTGATGCTCGGCGGCCGAGCGTGCAGTTTATGGCACAACCAATATCAACCTCGACGTCTCGAGCCCCCCGCCATCCCCTCGCCGCGCGACTCCCTCCAACAAGCAAACAAAAACAAAAACAACAACCTCGCCGCGCGCCGCAGGCGGTCACGCACTTCCAGGACGCGCGCAAGTTTGTCTTCGGAGCGTCGCAGGTGCTGCGCCCAGGCGCGCCGCATACCCAGGGCTCCGCCGCCCTGAGGATGCGAGCGACTTCGCCGCTCCTGGACTCCAGGACAAACCAAGATCGGGGAAACGTGAGACTCGAGTTCGCTGGAGCTCGGGTTTGCCGACGCTGTTGGGCGGGCCCTTCCCTGACTTTTGCCGGTCCAGCGTTCGTGGAAAATTTGCAGCGGGTGTTCGCGTCAAGTTTCAGGTCGCATCACATCCTTCTCTTGACGGCCCCGTCGGGTCGGAGTCCCCCGAACCCAAGTCTCCAGGATGGAACACGGCCCCCTGACGAGGCCAATTCGTTGAATGACATCGGTGGGAGGCCCAGCTGCTCTCTCACCCACAACACAGCGGGGGGGGGCGTGACAGGAGGATATGTTTGCCTTCCTTCTCTCCCTCTCTCTCTCTCTCTCTTTCTCTCTTCTTCGCAGCCAAGGCCAATGAAACGCCGATTGGACGCCATGCGAACGCCTCTGCTGGGGCCACTGCTAGAACTCCTCTAGATGGATGCCTATAACAAGGGCCCGTAGGAACCATGTCTTTTAGTGGAGGGTTCCTTAACATTGATGTGTAAGGCTGTCTGCATCAAGGGACCCTGAAGGAGGTTCCAGTTAGTGAGGGGTTCTTAGTGCGGGTGCTTTTGGTAAGCATTCGTCACTAAGGATGCTTTTAGCAAGGGGCCCTTAGTGCAGACTCCTGTAGTGAGGAATCATTAGTGGCGATGTCTCTGGTAAGGATCCCCTCAGTAAGGATCCCTGTAATACGGATTCATTGCTCACGTGTCCTTACGCATCCGTTGGCACGGGTTACCTAGGAGGGCTGCCTTTAGTAATTGGGCACGATTGTTCATGTTTCCTTATGCGTCCGTGGACACGGGATACTTGGAAGGCTGCCTTTCGTAATGGGGCCCGCAGTAAGGATGCGTAAAGTGTGGCTCCCTTAGTGTGGATGCCTTTCGTGAAGGTGCCCTCACTGAGGGTCCTTGCGGTAACGATTCTTTCCTGCGACTTGTTTTAGCAGGGGTTCTTTCAGACGGGTGTCAGGTGTTTTGTTTAATACGCGTTCATTAACAGCATTGCTTTCTTGCCAAGAAATCCTGACTACGGGCATCGTTAGTTTGGAAGCCCGTCGTGTGGGCGCATGCACGAGGCATTCGTTTGGATGAGAGCCTTTACCACGAAACCCTAGCAGAGGATCTTTTCAGTGAGGGGTTCTGAGTGAGGGTGTCTGTAGTACTGATCCCCTCCCCTCGGTAAGGACCTCCGCAATAAGGAGTCACTATGCATGGTATGGCATGGTTGCCTTAGTACGGGGTATGTGAGTAAGGATGACTTTAGTAAGGAATGAGTAGTGTTGCGTTTGTTGACGGTGTCTTTGATAATGCCACCTTCCGCCGCGAGGATACTTGTAGCAAGGATCCCGACGTTAAGTGCCCCTGTAGTAAGGAATCCTTGCCATGTCTTTAGTACTGTCTCGTTATGTTGGACGCCTTCAGTAAGGAACCTGGAGTAAGGAGTCATTTAGAAAGCAGTCCTCAGACAGGTATACATGTGAGGGGGGCCAGGTTGCCCTCCCACACAAACCACGACGCAGAGGGGGAAGTGACAGGAGGAAATGTTGGCGCTTTTTTTTTTCTCTCTCTCTCTCTCTCTCTCTCTCTCTCTCTTGCCCTCTCTCTTTCTCTCTCTCTCTCTCTCTCTCTTTTTCTCTCTCTCTTTTTTTCTCTCTCTCTCTCTCTCTCTCTCTCTCTCTCTCTCTCTCTCTCTCAGCCAGCGAAACCCCTATGCGACGCCATGCGAAAGCCTCCACTGGGGCCATTGCTAGAGATCTGTGGTACGGATGCTTGTAGCAAGGGACCGTAAGAATCGCGTTTAGTGCGTGGTCCCTGGTAAGGGAAGGTGTAGCAAACATTCATTCGTAAGGATGCTTAAATTCTAGACGCTTCGCGTATCCCCACCAGCCCGTCCAGAAACGACGCCCAGGCGAGTAGAGGGTCGTCCTGAGGGGCTTTTCGGCGTCTTGGGTGCCTCGGGGGGGCCTCTTTGGGCCGTTTGGGATCCTCTTGGGGGCCTCCTGGGGGCCTCTTGGGGCCATCTTGGGGCCATCTTGGGGCCTCTTGGTGCCTCCTGGGCGCTTCTTGGGGCCATCTTGGAGGAAATCGATCAAAGAAGAGGGGAGCTTCAATTAGTGCTGCCCCCTCTGGGGGCCAAAATGGGGCCAAAACCTTAGTAAAATCAATGATTTTGGCTTCCTCGGCGAGGCCGTTTTGGACGCTCTGACCGCTCCCCGCCCCCCCTGTCCAGGTCAGTGGGGAGGGGGTAGGGGGAGGGGTAAACCCCTCCCCGAAGGGGAAGAAGGAGGGGTGGAAGAGGAAACGCTCTAAACCACCGACGCCCAGAGGGCTGGTGGGATTGTGCGTGCGCGTGTGCGAATGCGTATTTGCGTGTGTGTGTGTGTGGTGTGAACGAGCTTCCCAGGATGCCCCCAGCTGTCAGCCTCCCACGCAGCCCCGCCGCAGCTAGGTGAGTGGGCCGGCCGGCTTGCGGCGCGTCTTGTAGCTAATTAGCCATGCTCGCCGCCCCGGGCTTTGCTGTCGCCGCCTGTGCTCTTCGCTCGCGGCCGCGACCGAAAAAAATATGTGGTGTGTGTGTGTTTCCTTGAGGCGAAGGGCGCTCGCGTAGGCCCCCCCCCCTGGTGCGCAGTTTCGGCCCCGACTCCAGCCGCGGCGCCGCAGGCGCTGCCTCGGAGCCGTCGCCGATCTGCGGCTGCTCATAAGGGGTAAGCCTTTTGGGCCTCAACCCCGAAGAGCCTCCTCCTCCTCCTCCTCCTCCTCCTCCTCCTCCTCCTCCTCCTCCTCCTCCTCCTCCTCCTCCTCCTCCTCCTACTCCAAGGATGACCCCGACAGAGCCCGTAGCCAGCCGTTGCGGCCCGAGTCAAGTCCAGTACGCAGTCTAATTTCGCCCACCGGCCAAGCCACGTTCCCTCCCCGCACAGTTTCAGTTTGGGCTGCGTCCGCGAAAGAGAATGCGCGTAGTCACCCGTTTTCACCTGTGTCGATTCTTCTTCGCCTGTACACTTTTGTCGAATGCGCAGCCAGGGTGTAACAGCACGTTGACGCACCAATGTTCATGCGGTGGCACGGAGGCGGTGTGCACGAGGATTGGCACAAGGACGACTGGGTGCATGTCGTGTAATACAACCTACGGTTGCTACGATTCAACCACGCACCAGTGTTCGTGCGGTGGCAGTGAGACTGAGTGTTCCAACTCAGGACGACTGTGGACGGACCAGTGCTCCGCGTGCGCCACAACTGAGGGGTGTTACGATTCGGTCACACATCAGTGCTCATGCGGTAGCACCAAGACAGAGTGCATCTCTGCACACGTTTGGTCTGACCAGTGCACATCTTGCGCTGGCGGTACAGGCGATTTTGAAGAGCTGTGGGGCTGCTATGACCACATCGTCCACAAATGCGATTGTAGCATTGACGTGGATACGTGCGACGATCAAGGTCGCACTTGGACGAGTGGTTGCAATTCATGCGCTCAGGAGACGACTGGCGAGCCAATTCGCGAGGGTTGTTACAGCCTGCTGACTCACGAGTGCGACTGCGAGAGCACTGAGACGGGCTGCGAGCATGCCGGGGATACCTGGACTCAGTGCACGTCGTGCGGCGAAGGCACGGACCAGACATCAGACGCAACTGCGCGGACGCTTGGCTCTGCTCTGATTTGTACCCTCGTCGTGTTCGTTTTGTTGCCCGCCCCTTCCTCGGCAAGAGCTGGCTGCTACGACCACATCGACACCCACACGTGCGACTGCTCGGTGGACCTGGAGCACTGCGAGCAGGTCCGTGGCCACATCTGGACGGACGGGTGCAGGACCTGCGACGCCTCGCTGGGGGTCGACCACGCCGAGTGCAACCGTGAGCACTCCTGGGGTTGCTTCGACCATGCCGAGCACGCGTGCGACTGCTGGATCTCCCAGGTGGCGTGCAATCTGAACATGTCCACGGACACCTGGACTCATCAGTGTTGGAGTTGTTGCTGGCACTCGGTCTGGGGGTGTTTCGAGCCAAGCAGCGGCTGCCTCTGCCGGATCCCTGAGGGGGCTTGCACCCGTGATTTTCCGGCGGCGACGTGGTCATTCAGATGCCACGAGTGCGAGGGCGTTGACCCGGAGCCCGACACCGACAAGCAGCAGATGAACATCGGGCACATCGTCATTGCATGCGCAGTTTCCCTCTCGTTGTGTTGCGCGGCCTCCCTCTGCGCCTATGTTGTCGTGTACTGGGCGCGCATCGCTAAGGTCAAGAGCATGTCCACTGACGTACCTGACACAGTGTATGGTAATCCCGTGCAGCCCCTTGATGGCACTGTGGTAGTTGGAGTGCCCCCTCAGGCTCCAGAGGCCAACGGCTCTTCAGGGAAAGTATCGAATGTTTGATTTCGGACTCGAATCATTCTCGGCCCTCACATGTCGCTTCTGGTGGCACCCGTCGAGTGCAAGGCCGCGCGGCGAATCCGCATGCCATCTATGTAGCCAACTACACCAACGCATATGTTGTTTGTTGGCGATATGTCGAGGGAAGCTTGGCTGGCATCGGGTATCAATCCAGCCGTCCTCCTGCATGCTCTTGTTTACAGTCGATTTGTAAGGCTAGGTTGTTCTGTGGAGCAGAGTGACTTGCCAGGCATCTGGTGCAGCATGCCACAAAAGCTGGGGCGAAGTACGTTGTATGCGCTGAGTGTTTGGAGGTGGAGGTTGTGTGTAGGCAGAGGAATTCTGCTTAATGTGCATATGCCGTATAGACCGACGACGCGTTCGGCGAACCACAGCCGCCCCCTGCATGTTGGAAATGCACATGTGGCCGAACGTTGGGCCGAAGCCTTGCTAAGCTATTGTATCATGCGTTCCACGAGCCGTTTTGGAAACCCTGTGGGCAACACGTGGGGGAGCAGGGAGAAGGAGAAGGATGAGGAGGAGGCCTCTTTGGGGCCTGCAGAAGGCTTCCTGGGAGCCCGTTGGTGGCCTCTGAATGTCTTCTGGGGTCCGCTTGGGCCGCTTGCGGACCGTTTTGGAGGTCGTCTTGGGGCCGTCGTGGTCCGTCTTGGAACTCTCGTGAGGGCTTCAGGGGCCGTCCCGGGGCATTTTCGGGCCTTTGGGACCGCCTTGGGTTTTCCGATGCACGAAAGGCGAGGGCATGAAGATCTTTCAACAGCCCTAGGACAACTTGAGGAACCACAATCAGTTTGGTCTCGATGGGCCATCCTGGAGAGCCTGTTGGAGTTATACTGGGCTGCATCAGGGACCTATTGTGTTGCCTCGAGACCATATTCTAGACGCTTCGCGTAACCCGACCAGCCCATCCAGAGGCTGTGCCCAGGCGAGTTGCCTTGATCAGGGATGCGTAGAGGTCTGCAATGGAAGAAAGGGCTGGGGAAGCCGTCGTACCCCAAGAGATGGAGGATGGAGGAGGAGGCGGGGGAGGAGCAGGGGGAGGAGGGGGGAGGAGGGAGGAGGAGGAATGGGCGAATGCAAAAGAGCAGGAAGAGGAGGAGGAGGAGGAGGAGGAGGGAGGGAGGGAGGGAGAGGAGGAGGAGGAGGAGGGCGAGCAGAAAGGACAGCGGATGCCTCTCGGGGTCTCTTCGGGTGTCTCTTCGGAGGGCATCTTGGGGTCTTCTCGGGGCGCTTTGGGGACCTCCAGGCGGTAGGAAGCCTCTCGGAGCGTCGTGGGTGCTTCGGGGGAGCCTCTAGGGAGCCTCTGGGGAGCCTCTAGGGGACTTCTTGGGGACCTCTCGGAGGCCTCTTGGGGCCTCCTGGGCGCCTTTTGCGGCCCTCTTGGGCCACGCTTGGGGGCAGTCTTCGAGGATATCGAACAAACAAGGGGGGTGCTTGATTAGCCTCGCCCCTCTAGGGCCCCATAAAATCGCCTCTTGGACACCTCTTGGAGCGCTCTTGGGACCGTATTGGGACCCTCTTGGGTTCCTCTTGGGAGGCCTCGGAGGGCTGTCGAAAGCGAAAGGACGAGAATTGATGTTTGAAGGAGTTTGGTCTCTTAATGGTGTCCTCGGAATGCTCCGTGGCCACTTGGAGCCGTCTTGGAGTGATCGCGGGGCGTCCGCGCATGATCCAGATGTTGGTGCAAGGGTATTCTGTATTGGATTTTGCATGGGATTGTGGGGGGTGCTGGCATTGCACACAGCAGGCAATATGCCAGCCCCACCGCCGTCCCTGTCAAAACACAATGCAACGTGATCGCAGTGCGTCCGCGCATGACCCAGATTGGTGCAAAGTGCATTCTGTATTTTTTGTCGAGAAGGATGGCGGGGTGTTGTTGACATGGTCTGGGCTGTGTCGCTGGTCGGGTGGGAGAGGGATGTGCATTAATACGGAACAGGTATGAAACCCTCTCCGAAGGGAAGGGGGATGGAAGAGGAAACCCGCTAAACCACTCACGCCAAGAGAGCTGGTGGGACTGGGCAGTCGTGGATCCATTTTGGGCCGCCGTATGGGGCATATTGAGGCAACCGTGGGCTTCCATGGGCTAATATTGGATGTCTTGAAGGCATCTTGGGACTATATTGGACTCGATGTTGGTGGTCGTCTTGGAGTCCATTCGGGCCGTCTTGGGGCCCTCTGGGTATGGCCGCTTGGGCAGTGGTGGGGCCACCTTGGAGGCGTTGTGGCCCGTCTAACTCTGCCGGAAGCCCGACATGGCGAGAATACTGAAACCATTGACCAGTGAAAAGCACGGCGCCAAGCTAGGCCGTATTTGGCCCGTCTTGTACAGTAGTGATGTCATCGTGTGTTTTCTATGAGGCAATATTGGACCGTTTTGGGTTGTTTTGAACGCCGACTTGGAGGCGTCTTGGCGCCTCGTTGGGACACTTCGGCCGCGTGGGAGGCCATCTTGGATTGTTTTGGTGCCAGTTTGGAGGCGTGTCGGGCAGTTTTGGACGATCGGGGGCCCGAAATGGGCAGAGCGCTAACACCGTTGACCATTGAAAACACGTTGGGCATCCAAGGATAACAGCATGCTGGGGACATACTTTGAGTGGCGGTCAAATGTGGTGCATGCGTTGGTTCCCGTGCGATTTGGGCCATGCGTCGTCCTGGTGTTGTTCTGACGACATCCTGGCGTCGTCCTGACATTGTCCTGGCGTCGTCATGGCGTCGTCCTGGCGTCGTCCTGGCGTTGTCTTGGCCTTGTCCTGGCATCGTCTTGGCGTCGTCCTGGCGTTGTCCTGGCGCTGCCATGGCATTGTCCTGTTGTTGTCCTGGTGTTGTTCTGATTCTGTCGTCCTGGCGTCGTCCTGGCGTTGTGGTGGTGGTGACTTGCCGTCGCCCTGGCGTTGTCCAGGCGTTGTCCAGGCGTTGTCCTGGCGTCGTCCTGGCGTTGTCATATCGTCGTCCTGGCTGGCGACTTCGTGGCGTCTTTCAGGCGTCGTCCTGGCGTCGTCCTGGCGCTGTCCCAGTGTTGTCCTGGCGTCTTTCAGGCGTCGTCCTGGCGTTGTCCTGACGTTGTCCTGGCAGTGTCCTGGCGTCGTCCTGGCGTCGTCCTGGCGTCGTCCTTGGCGTTGCCCTGACGTTGTCCTGGCATTGTCCTGCCGTCGCCCTGATGGCGCCCTGACGTCGTCCCGGCGTTGTCCTGGCGGCGTCCTGGCGTTGCCCTGGCGTTGTCTTGCGTTGTCTTGGCATTGTCCTGGCGGCGTCTTGGCGACATTTTGGCGTCGTCCTGGCGTTGTCCTGGCGTCGTTTTGCGTCGTCCTGGCGTTGTCCTGGCGTGGTTTTGGCGCCGTCCTGGCGTCGTCCTGGCGTTGTCCTAGCGTTGTCCTGGCGTCTTCTTGGCGTCGTCCTGGCGTCGTCCTGGCGCTGTACTGGCGTCGTCCCGGCGACATCATGGCGTCGTCCTGTTGTCGTCTTGGCGTCGTCTTGGCGTCGCCTTATCCTGGCGTCACCCTGGCGTCGTCCAGGCGTTGTCCTGGCGTCGTCCTGGCGTCGTCCTGGCGTCGTTTTGGCGGCGTCCTGGCGTCGTCCTGGTGTCGTCCTGGTATCGTCCTGGCGTTGTCCTGGCGCCGTCCTGGCGTCGTCCTGGCGTCGTCCAGGCGTTGTCCTGGCGTCGTCCTGGCGTCCAGGCGTTGTCCTGGCGGCGTCCTGGCGTCGTCCTGGCGTCATCCTGACGTTATCCTTTCGTCCAGGCGTTGTCCTGGCGGCGTCCTGGCTTCGTCCTGGCGGCATCCTGGCGTCGTCCTGGCGTCGTCCTGACGTTGTCCTCGCGTCGTCATGGTGTTTTCCTGGCTTCGTCCTGACATTGTCCTGCCTTCGTCATGGCGTCGTCCTGGCGATGTCATGGCGTCGTCCTGGCGCTGTACTGGCGTCGTCCTGGCGTTGTCCAGGCGCTGCCATGGCATTGTCCTGTTGTTGTCCTGGTGTTGTTCTGATTCTGTCGTCCTGGCGTCGTCCTGGCGTTGTGGTGGTGGTGACTTGCCGTCGTCCTGGCTTTGTCCTGGCGTTGTCCAGGCGTTGTCCTGGCGGCGTCCTGGCGTTGTCATGTCGTCGTCCTGGCGACGTCCTGGCATCGTCGTGGCGTCTTTCACGCGTCGTCCTGGCGTCGTCCTGGCGCTGTCCCAGTGTTGTCCTGGCGTCTTTCAGGCGTCGTCCTGGCGTTGTCCTGACGTTGTCCTGGCGTCGTCCTGGCGTCGTCCTGGCGGTGTCCTGGCGTCGTCCGTGGCGTTGTCCTGACGTTATCCTGGCATTATCCTGGCGTCGTCCTGACGGCGCCCTGACGTCGTCCCGGCGTTGTCCAGGCGGCGTCCTGGCGTTGCCTTGGCGTTGTCTTCCCGGTGTCCTTGGCGTTGTCCTGGCATCGTCCTGGCGTCTCGCCCTGGCGTCTTGGCGGGCGTTGTCCTAGCGTCGCCCTGGTGTCCTCCAGGCGTCGTCCTGGTGGTGTCCTGGCGTAGTCCTGGCGTCGTCTTGGCGTCGTCTTGGCGTTGTCCTGGCGATGCCCTGGCAACGCCTTGGCGTTTGCCTGGCGCCGTCCCATCGGCGGCCTGTCGTTGTCCTCGCGACGTTATTTGCGTAAGCATGAGAGGCATAAAAACTCGAGTTTCCCTTGCACAGGGTGTCCAGAGCTCCGACCACTTTATTTCGGCACGGCACCCCCTCCATTACCCACACATTCCACCAGCCAGCGCGCCCCTCCGCCCCGACCCCCTTATTTCGGCACGGCACACCCCCTCCACACCCCCTTCGCATCCCCCCCACCCACCAGCCAGCGCGCCCTCCGCCCCGGCACGGCACACCCCCTCCGCATCCCCCCCACCCACCAGCCAGCGCGCCCCCTCCGCCCCGACACCGTTATTTCGGCACGGCACACCGCTCCGCCCCGACCTTTTTATTTCGGCACGGCACACCCCCTCCGCATCCCCCCACCCACCAGCCAGCGCGCCCCTCCGCCCCGACCCCTTTTATTTCGGCACGGCACACGCACCCCGCATCCCCCCACCCACCAGCCAGCGCGCCCCCTCCGCCCCGACCCCTTTATTTCGGCACGCCCCCCCCTCCCCTGCGCGCCCCCTCCGCCCCGACCCCTTTTATTTCGGCACAGCACACCCATCCGCCCCGACCCCTTTATTCTCTTGCACAGGGTGTCTAGAGCTCCGGCCACTTTATTTCGGCACGGCACCCACTCCATCACCCACCAATTTCACCAGCCAGCGCACCCCCACCGCCCCCATCTCCCCCACCCCAACCCCCCACCCACCAGCCAGCGCGCCCCCCTCCGCCCCGACCCTTTTATTTCGGCACGGCACCCCCCCCCCAATCCCACGCACCCCTCCGCATCCCCCCCACCCACCAGCCAGCGCGCCCCCCCGCTCCGACCCTTTTATTTCGGCACGGCACCCCCCCAATCCCACGCGCCCCCTCCGCATCCCCCCCCG